ACAAATATGACTTCAATGTCAGTCGCATTACCCCATAGTAAGATTCCATAAAACATTACGCTATGAAAGTAACTAAAATAAACTAATAATTCGCCTTCGCGCATCGGACGCGGGGGCGTCTGTTGCGCAGATGTAATTGGAGGCCGTGGAGGAAGGCGTGCCATGTGTTCTGGTGCGCCGATAATACGACACGTGTTTCGCCTCTACACGAGGCATCTTCAGGTAATGTAGACTCTAAGGCGGCTGACCGCTAGCGTTAGCGTTAGCGGTCAGCCGCCATAGAGTGGATAGTAGAGTAGAGTCGAGCCGTAGAGTCGAAGTAGCCTCGTGTAGAGGCGAAACACGTGTCGTATTATCGTCGATGGTGTGTCTTGCCTGAAATAGTGGTGTTGAGAGTAGTGGTGCTGGGATTAGTTGTGACGGAGTTAGTGCATGCAATTGAGGGAGGGCGGGAGGTGCTCTTCAATCCAGGTAAGACACATCATTGTATTTGTTTGGCGGAAGGTTGCGAAGAAATTTATATTTTATTTTTTATTATAATGGATTTCCGCAAAGTAACGCCTGATTCTATCAATTATATATATATATATATATATATATATATATATATATATATATATATATATATATATATATATATATATATATATATGTTTAATATAACTGTCTCAACAATGGTGAGAAAGTAACAGAAACAGAAACTTTTTTATTCAATATGTATTATAAATAATACTTATTGACTCATTTTTTTTCGTTTGAAAAAAAAATTTCCACTGGTTTGCAAAACAACCTCTGTCCTCAGAAGAACCAGCAAGAAACCCAGCGGGATTTTTTAAAATTAATAGCTTACAATCATTTATGTTACAATTTACAACATGAAACAAATTAGAAATAGCTTGGTAGCGATCATCCTTCTCAGGGGTTATTATCATCCGTAAATTCCTTAATATTATAATTAACATTTTTATACAAACTTAGTTTAGTAAAGTTTTTGAACTTTGTGTATGTCAAATGTTGTATATTTTCTGGGAATTTGTTGTAAAAGCGTATACATCGCCCCAAGAATGAATTACTGACTCGGTGGAGTCTAGTATTACTGTCATTTAAACAAAACAAGCTTCGTATGATGGTTCCAAATTTTTTGCTTGGGTTCACATGCTTTTGTGGCGTGACGTATACGCAGTTCAAATTAGTGCATGGAAATTGTCTTAATAAGTAAATCTTTGCGGTTTCCAATAAAAGGTTGACTTTCAAAATGATTCGTCGTAAATACATCCTGGCATCGTTTGAAAGTTGTTAAAATAAGTTTCGGTAATAGAATTTTTTCTGCAAAGAATGATACTTCTTTATGTGAATGTATCTTAAATATTCTTTCTGCCAACGTACATACTTTAATAACATCGCGTGAAGGATAAATAAGGCCACCTTTATCTTTTTTAAATATAAGACCTAAATATTTGCTGCTAATAAGAGCTAGCAGACAATCTTCACATTTTATAGTTTTTCTTAATTTCCTAACTACAAACCCACCGATATATGAAATAATTTCTTTAGTATAGGTGGTCAGTTTTGAGCGGTTAAAATATATATAATCATGGTCATCATCGACTAAGAAATTATTATTAGGGGGGAAATCCTTAACCGAGTCTTCGAGATCTTGAGTGCAGTACATATTAATTTTATTTTCATATCGCACTTCTGTGCGAGTAAAAATTTTTATATCCTCTAGATGTATACAGTTTCCTGACTTAATACCTTTTATTTCCCCGTGTATCACTAGTGTTTTGTAGGCGCTTTGAAATTGAAAAGCTGTTGGATTGTTGTTATAGCCGCCCTTTGATCGTATCGAGCTGAAGAAGCACTCCAGGTGATCTTGGCTAAGTTAGTATATAGGCAAAAAATTAAGTTTACCCGTCACTATGATATCAGCATACATTTTTATAAGACTTTGTATACATATTAAGAAATTAATCCAACTTTCCTATTTGTTTGCCAGATTGGTTTTTCCTCTAATTGCAACCCTCTGATGTAGATATCCATTATATTAACAAATTCTAATATGCTATCGCCATTTTTACTATTAATAAGTTTTTTAAAACCGTACATATTCAGAGTCTGACTATTAAAAATATCAAATAAGTTGTTAATTTTCCCTATAAAATCAACAGTAGCCTCGAAACCGAAAAGATCTCGTTTGTTACAAAATTCTATTGCATCTACCAGATTACCCGCCAATTAAGTTTCATTATTTGTTTTGAAAAATTAATATGCTGATTTTTAAGACGGTTAGCTAGATGGAGACCCTCCTTTTCCTGCAGATTATGAAGCAATTATATAAAATGCCATGAAATTATTCTACCATGCAGATTTGTTAATTAATTTTTCTGACCTAGTGTATTGCTGACAAGTTTCAGCATATGAGCTGGATCCGGAAATACATTTCCGGATCCAGCTCATATGCTGAAACGCGTTTATCACAAAGAAAATACGAAGTAATATTTTTCAAATCATCGAAATTGCAACCTAAATTTTTAGCCATCGAAAAGTTGGTTAGAAAGCCGTCAAAAGTTGGGGAGACTATATTAACACAATAATCTACTAACAAACCCATACATTGTTTATTTAATGTTTCCTTTTGTTCGCCTGTACAACCATTAATAAAAAAAAACCGATTGGCATCTTCGATCCATTATTTATAAATGTTACCATAAACACCAATGCCTCCCTAGCTTCAGCTACATTGTGACCATCCAAAGCTACCCCATAGGTCACCAGACCTACACATTTCGTTCCATCCCATTGGACGTGCCACTTCATAGCCATCTCATCCATGCAAACTGCACAATACAGTTCGGTTTTTTTGTTCTTTGCCACTAATTTAATGCATTCTAATGATTCTGTTGTAAACCCTGGGTTTGCATCTACACTTTTGTACCATGTAGTAAGCGTGGATGGAAGAGGCAGACAAGTATTAAATTGTTGTCGTACATACGTGTAAGCCCGAGGACTTATAAATTGCAAGCAAAGAGTGAATTTGCGTAAAGATGGTGAATATTTTCTACCACTAAGGGGATTATTTCAAGAAGTTTCTATTGGTAGGATCAACAGATTCCAATAAATCCCCATGTTCTTCACTTATCAAAGACTTTTTTTAAGTTCTGCAATAGTATTTTGTAGTTTAGCTACTTTTTTCTCGAAAAGTCTTTAATTTTTTCAGTCATTCGGATGATAGTTTTTCCGAGTGTTTCCATTTCTGTCGCAACGTTCGAGGAGGAGTGTAGGGGAAGACCGGGCAATGGGGGTCCGCGGGTAATGGTGGTCACCCACTCATCTCCAAAAGTATAAACGATAGAAACGCGTTAACGGTCTTCCCCGCCCCGCTCCGAGCCCCCGCTGTCACTGTGAGCGCGCCGCGTCAGTGCGTCGACGGTCTAGAAAACGAGAGGTGTATTTTGTTTTTGCGGCTCGCCGATGTAAAATTTCACCGACGAAAAATAAACAGTAAGTATTATAGTTATTGATCTACTTGTCTGTTACTTTTTTACGTCTTTACTTGTACATTAAGTGTTATGATTACATACTTAAATCCCGAGTGTTTCCAATATATATTTCGTGTTTATTTTTTTGTTTCATAAGGAACTTATGGGTAATGAGAATCGGGTGACTCCCATTGCCCGCTAGTGACCACGATTTCCCGCATAGCAAAAGCTATAATAAAAATTTTGTTATTTTGGTTTTAGATGCCGAAAGTACGAGTAAGAACGACTACAAAGGGTTCCTGGTCTTCAGGTACTTCAGAAAAGGCGGTGAAACTTATTGAAGAGGATGGTTTTTCTATACGAAAAGCTGCTAAAGTTTCGAATATTCCTTTCTCAAGTCTACAGAAAAGATTCAATAAAAAAAGTAACTTGGCACCACGTCTGGGACGGTGGACTGTGTTTAGCGCTGAACAAAAAAAGCAGTTGACTGACTTGATAAAGCAGATGGCGAATATTTTCTATGGATGCACAGCTATAGAAATAAGAAAAGTGGCGTTTGAGTACGCTGAAAAAATGAACTTAAAACACAATTTTAATCAGTCTTCTAAAATGGCTGGTCGTGACTGGTTGGCATCTTTTATGGCTAGAAATGATATATCTGTTAGAAAACCAGAAGCCACCAGCACAAATCTGATCACGGCATTTTATAAAACAGATGTGAAATTATTTTATCAGCTGCTGGGCGAACTGATGGCAAAGCATAAATTTGTCCCCAAAAACATCTTTAATTGCGACGAAACGGGCATTACTACTTCCAACCCCCTGAAAAAATACTAGCAGCTAAAGGGCAAAGAAGAGTAGGATCAATCACAAGCTGGGAGAGAGGAAAGAATATAACGTTAATGTGTGCAATGAACGCTGCCGGTGGATTCATCCCACCGATGATTATTTATCCCCGAAAAAGACTGACTCCACTTCTTGAAAAAGATGGGCCAGCAGGAGCTCTATATAAATGCTCGGATAATGGCTGGACAAATGAGCAGCTTTTTATTGAATGGCACTCGCACTTCAAGCACCACGCTAAACCATCTGCCGAAGAACCAATCCTGCTGATATTGGACAATCATGCCAGCCATATATCGCTGCCTGTTTACGAATTTTGTAAACTCAACCACATCCATATGCTTTCTCTACCTCCTCATACCTCGCATAAAATGCAACCTCTTGACGTTTCATTTTATGGACCACTGAAAGCGGCATACAAAAAGGAGTCCGACTTATACATGAAAAGTCACCTAGCCGAGAAAATTACCCCTTACTACCCCTTACCTACTTACTTAAGTAGCATCCTTATTGCGGAAGGCATTTAACAACGTCGCGTCCATCAGTAAAGGTGAGGCAGGATTTAGAGCTACAGGTATTTATCCGATGAACCCTGATGTATTTTGTGAAGAAAATTTTCTACAAGCCGAATTGCTCGAGTCAGCAGAACCTACGGCCATTCAAAACGTTGATGAATCAATGGAAATTCACAGCTCAGCGCCAGGTTTAGAAAGCTCTTTAGTACCTGGCACATCAATGCAAGATAATTCACCTCCACCAGCAACGGCGCCACCAAAAACTTCTAGCTCAATCAATTGTCCAGGCTCTGATCCATTAGTGGAAATTGTTTCAACAGCACTTGGCCCAATATATTCACCAGTTCCTAGCACATCACTTCAAGTTGATTTATCAGTCTCTAGTCTTGATATTCTGTCGAAACTAATCAAGTTACCAGAGAAAACCAATACCCACAATACGAGACAAGGTCGCAAGAAGCAGCATGCATCAATTTTAACATCTACACCAATAAAAGAAAGCCTAATAGAAAAAGAAAATAAGAAAAAGAAAACAGTCTGCCCACCCAAAGATAAAGATGGGGGAAAGGGAAAAAATATTACTATGGACAAGGGCAAGGGCCACGGAAAGAAGACGAAAGTGCCGGAAAAGGGGACCAAAAGAGTAAAGAGAAAGGTTCTCCAGAAATCAAACGATACCTCTGTATCAGACGTGGGCACAGATGATTTGTGTCAAGATGATGAACTAGATGATGCTGACGGCGAAGGAAATGTATGCTTAATCTGCAACGAATTTGGCAAAAATAATGAGGTTTGGTACAGGTGCACCTCATGTGGTTTACGCGCTCACGCAGATTGTACTGGGTGGGAGTCTACCAAGGACTATATTTGCGATTATTGCTAGATTTTTCTATGAACCTTATTGCCCACTGGGTGACCTCAATTACCCGTACCTCAGGGCAATGGGAGTCAAAACAGTTTTTTTAATACTTTTATATTTCTCAAAAATGATGATTATTGTGATAATTATTGATCTCCGATTATAGCTAATTAAGTAAATTTTGTTATGAGGTGGTTGCAATAAAATTTTGTTAATTTTAACTTGTGTATTCTAATTCTTGCTTAAGTGACCCCCATTACCCCTTTCTACCCTACTCTGGAGTCTTGTCCTAAAACCCAAAAAAAAACGTTTAATAATCATAACTTTGTTACTACAGACACAACATTTTCTGATTGTAATACTTACTATTGATGGTTGATTGGAAATTGGAAGACTTACTATTTCAACTGGCTTTTGGCCACTAGTCGACGGCAATAGATCAACAGCAGGACCAATCTGAAATCAATTAATGTGTATGTTAAATCTGCCACAGTTTTAGTTTCATAACATCCATTGATCAAGCGTCTCGATAATGAATTAATGTATCAAGATTATAATTTATAACGAAGGTAATTTATTTTAATACTGTAGAATACATTGCAAAATTGAAGGGCTAAGTGGACAAAGGTTACTTGAAAATTGAAAAGTCCGACTTTTTTTTGAAAAAGGAATTTAATTTCTAATGAACTTAAGTTTTATCTGATGATAAACCGACTCTTGAAGTTAAACACGCCAATTCTAATTCGTTACATAGTTACAGACGCTAGCATAGGTGTTAACTGCCAAATAAGTATATATTTCAATTTGTAAATGTGCTATCAGCAGAAATATTTTCAGAGAATCATTGTCATTGCTACTTTTGGAATAATATAAGGTAATTATAGATTAATAAATCTTCTGCATCTTCACAAGGACAACATAATTTTATGTTAAAGAAATAAACAAAGGTGTTCTGGGCTATAGGTAAACGTAACCTAATGTAAAATAGAATCATATTTTTTCAAATCCTCTTTTACAACGGTTATAGTATCTTTAATCTCCAGTGTTATAATTTGTATTCCATCTAAGTATTGGTTTTGTATTTTAAATTGGTGGCTAGATTCGCAGAGTGCAACAGAGCGCGAGCAGAAATGGCAGAAAATAAGCATAACTAAAATCTTATATTTGTACACTACACTAAATAATAAAAAAAAAACAAATTCACAAAATCTTAATTAACTTCCCTGGTTTTTTCCCTAGTTTTATTTATTTGTAGGTATAGATTTATTGATAAATTTATAATTTGAAATACGTTAAACAGGTGTATAAAGTAAATATAAAAAATTTAAAAAAATATAATTTTTTTAAATACAGTAGAGCGTCGATTATCCGAAAGTCGATCAACCGAACGACCGCTTATCCGAACTACTACCTTGGTACATCTTTGGGTTGCGACCACCTTCTCTGCCCTGATACGGAAGAAGGCGGCTAAGCCACAAAAGTACGTTTCGAGAAAAATTTAAAAAAAGCGCGAAATTGGGTTTCTTGATAGATATCACCGAAAAAAATATTTCAACTATTGTAATCCATGTAAAAAAAATTACGAATCTTTCATAAATATTTTTGAATGAAATTATTGGCATACTGTTCTGTAAACTCTAAAAATGTAATTAACGTAAGTATTGAAACATTATATTTGAATATTAATTACATTATAAAAGGCCGTTAAGTATACCTTAACTGCTTTTTAGTATAACAGTTACAATAATCATACGCAAAAATGCGGCTAACCTACCTTAACTTTCTTTTGATTTTTGACGCTTTGTTTAAATTACACACTTGGACTACACTTTATTGCTGTTAAGTGATATGACTGCCTTATAGTATAGTTTATTAGAAAATAATCAAATTAAATAGAAGTTAAACTAAACTAAAAGGTAGTTAAAGGTACATCAATCTCACGGAACCGCTTTTTTGGTTAGCATTAGCATAGCTATATTTTTGTTATGTAAATTTGAAAAGTTGCTAAGTGTAAAATAAAATGTGCTTTAGTTTAAAGAATATCAAAACCTTAGTCATGCTTAGCACAAACAATTATAAGGAAAAACAAGGGATTGTTTATTAATCTTAAAGAACCTGTTTTTTGTTTTGAAATGTGATTTTCTGCTCTACTAAACCGTTTTCAATTATAATTCTTTCCTGTGCTAAATCTGATCTGACGAATCTGATTTATTTACTGATTTTTTTATCATGGAAATTGGTAGGTGGCATGAAGTATGATATCGACTGATTGTCGTCTTCTTCGGAATCAGAACTGTTTTGCGGCATCTCCACTGACGGTAAATAGTCCATTCTTTTACAGAATCATCGGAGTCAAAATATTCCCCGCTTTATTATTAATAATGGCGCTGTTCTACAGATACTGGAAGACGTATTGTAGATCTCAAGGAGTAACTAATTTTACAGACATACTTATAGACAGGCGTAGACTTCTTTGAATTTGGAGCTATTCGGCGGCATGTTTACTAAATTCAAAGTTTCACCGGAGTTAAAATCTTTATCGGCTAATTCAATGTAACGATGCTCTTTGACATATTTGGTGTTATTCTGGGACATATTCATCGGTGGCACACAGTTTTTATCTATAGCGATCAATTCTTAAAAAAAATTAAAATAAAATGTAAATTTATTTTATTTTAATTTTATTTTTTAAGACTTTTTTCTGGATTTTCAGACTTTTGGTCCATAAAAGTGTTAATACAACAGAATAAAAACAACACTAAAACATTAATTCAAATATTTTCCGGGCTAGTTTGCGGCACTTGGTATACACGGTACCATTTCTTCATAATAAAAAATATTCAAAGCGTTTTATTCGTTTTCAGTTAGGTGAATTCATTGTGTATCAAGTTTGAACATCCCGCTTAACTTTTGGAATTGATAAAATTTTGTAAATTGATTCAGAATCACATATGAGATCTATAGAGTATGATCAAGACCAAAGTGAATCAATTCTTAAGGAACGGGGAGCCAGTCGTGTCCAATGTGCCCACTGATTAAGTTTAAATGGTTTACAGTCTTCTGCTGTCTCTTCTTTCGCCACGTTCACTATCTTCTTGCCTTTGTTAAGACAAGGCATTATTCAAGGTGTAAAATAAAAAAAATATAAATACTCAAGTAATGTAAGAAGGGTTTAATATTAAATTAGGAAAATATTAGTTTATGAATTTGGTGTAATAGTAATCCAAATCCACTTATGCACAACGTAAACAATTGTCAGACCTTTTTGCTTGGCACCCGAGCAGCAGTAGTAGTAGTACACACTACCTCAAAATTGAATTGAACACTCCTTGGCCGTAGCGTATTTTAAAATTATTTTGTTATGAATATAACGCTCTTTTTTACATATTACAGATGATTTTGAATAAAATGTGCTATTATTGACTACTTTTTAAGTACTAACTAAATCAGGGTTTTAAGATATAAAAATAGTTAAAATTTTAATTTTTATTTAGGTCACGTACTAAGCTGTTTAAAACTAGTTTTTACGGATTTACCGCGTATATTAACATTTTTAAATTCCCGACGTTTCGAGCACTTTACAGCACCCATGGGCACGGGTGAACTAAGATGTTCGACGTCCCGATGTTATAGTTAACCACCAGATTAAAATCATTAATTTTTGTTCCAATCTACACAGTATGAACTTATAATATCTTGAAATCTTGCAGTTGTATGTTTGGATTGGGATTTATTTTCATTAATTATAGGATCCCAAGCAGATGGTAGTGCCCATATTTTCTAACATCTCAACCCCGCGTTAAAGAACATATAGCTGAAGCTCCGGGAAGTCTGCAGTTTGTGAACACATACAGGACCGTCCCGTCACTACATCAGATTTAATAGAACACAAATTCTCGCTAAAGCACACAGATTTCTTTCATAGATGATTCGCGAGGCTATTGAAATCAAAAAACATCCTAATTTCAATAGAGCAAATGGATTGCGCGGCTACCGTCTGCTTAGGATCCTGTAATTATAAAAATAAATCTCAACCCAAGCATACAACTGCAAGACTTCAAGATACTATAAGTTCATACTGTGTAGACCGGAACAAAAATTAATAATTTTAATCTGTAAATAACCCCGGGTAACTATTACATCGGGACATCGAAGACGTCAGTCCCTCCCGTGACCATACTGTGTAAAGTGCTCGAAACGTCGGGAATTAAAAAAAGTTAATATACGCGATAAAATCCGTAAAAACTAGTTTTATTTAAAAAAAAATCTATAGTAAATTCTATTAAATTTCTTCCTCGCAATTTAATTGCAATTGAATGGGAAAATTGAGTCTTAAGGGGATAGAGTAAGTCAGCTCAAATTCTAATTTCATCCCCACTTGCCCGCGCGTCGTATGCTAAGAGACAGTGCGGCAGGAATCACGCTTCAAAAGGCCGCTAGTTTAGGTAATTTCTTTTTACAGTGAAAATAATGGTATTTAAAAAAAAGTAAATAACATAAGCACTGCTTTATAGTTAGTTCAGTTAGTATGCAAAGTTTTATGATCTTATTTAAAGTATTTTATGAATAACAGCGGTTTATTGTTTATTTTGGAGGTAACTTTGGATTTTTTTTTCTATCGAGAAAATTTTACGAAATCGTGTTTTCGTCTAACATAATTCTTAACATTAATCCTCAACTTAACCATATATTTATTTCAAAATTAATGCTGCAATATTTTCGGCATAACGAAGGATCTTGCTAAACCATTTGAGATTATATTTCCCCTTAAAGTCCTTTTCATCAGAAAAGACACATTTTTTCGGAGAACTATTATACAGTTTTCTAAATAAAAACCCAAACCAAAGAATATACCTCTGGCACACTCGGACAAGAGCTCTAATCATACTTTTTTTACTACTAAAACTTACTGATCTAATTCTTTACGTACACATCGCTAAACGCTAAGATATTGCTAAACTTACATTTAGACGCTTTTTAGAGTAGCACATTAACTTTGCCGCTGTTTAAATATTGTTCCAAAT